TGCTGGCACACAGAGGCATTAAATGTCACAGTGGTCCCAATGGTCATTAAGACTTGTATTTAATTTCTTAATGCTGCCCTGATGAGGTCTGATGTAAATCACAGGGTCACATGGTGGCTAGTGATGGATAATCCTCAAACTAATAGAAATATGCAGTATGTACATGCATGTTAATATTTCATATATTATGGAACAAAAGGGCTGTCAAGCATTGGAACAGGCTGACCAGGTAAAGGTGCAGTCACCACTCCCACAGGAATTTAAAAGATGTGTGGATCTGGCACCTGGGGACATGGTTCAGTGGTGGACTTGTCAGGGCTGGGTTAATGGCTGGACTCAATGATTTTGAAGGTCTTTTCCAACCTAAATGATGCTATGATTGTATGATTTGAAATGGGATGTTATCCAAAGTTAGTCTGGGAGAAAGGCAAATACTGGATTAATTTCACTTTGTTGTTCTGTACCAGTGAGATGAATTCATGAACAAGATGAGCAATAGAAGAAATCTTTGTCCCACTTAATGTAAAAGACATGCTGGAAATGGTGAAAAATTCTAAAAAAGACAAATATCTATTTAAAAAAGAAAAATATATGATGGGGGTTTATTTGTTTGGTTTAGTGGATTCTTTTAGTTTTATGCGGAATAACAGAAAATTAACTTAAGAAAAAACAACTAGTTTTGAAGCCACCAACTGATCCTTATTTATGAAGGTGAGCAGATTTTCTAAAGGATGTGGGCTTGACACCTGAGAGGACAATTGTCATGTGCACACTGATCCCACCAGGAAGGTGCAAGAAGCATTGCTGTGAAGAAGCAAAGGACATTACTGGGAACATCTCTCTTAGATAACCACAGTACCAGAAGAAGAATGCAGTTAACAGAGGACTAGAACCTCAAACCACAGGATAAATTGTACTAGCCACGCAACAACTAGCAAGGGGCCAAATCCCAGCTATTTGTGCTGATACCTGAATGTCCTCATAGACCCACGGAGCTTATTGCAGGAGGACAAAAATTCATGGGTTTTTGAAATGAGGAAGACACGCTGTTTGTAAGCACAGTGAAGAGGGAAGGATGTGAATTCAGGAGTATGGCTAAGAAACCCCTGCAGAAATAGTCTGTATGTCACACAAAAGCACCTGCGGTAACGGGAAAATGAGAGAGAGCAGGTCCATCAAAGCGTGAAGCTAGCGGGGTCTGCACACTAATCTGAGCTGCAAATTCGAGCCCTTTGCTGGTCCTGACTGTCTCTGAAGTGTGTGGGCAGGGTATTAGATCAGGAGCTGATGTGGTACCTTCAGACAGCCAGTGCACATGCTGTGTACAACAGCATCACTGTGGGGTAGGTTACTAACACTTTGAGTTGTATAGGTCCCCTGTGCTCTGGAGGCAGAGGGCTGGGGACTCCCTAGACATGCTCCACACTGCTTTCCCAGAAAAAGAGACCCTCCCAAGCTGCCGTAGCACAAATCCATTTGGACTTGTTCTGGATACGTATTTGGACAAATGGAGAAAATAATAACAGCCATGACAGAAAGCTGAACAGAGTGATGCCCATGGTATGTGCTACTGCCAAGTGGCATGCAGGATAAATTGTAGGAAGGTAAGGGACCATCCAAAACCATCCTTAAAAAAAACAAAAACCAAAAGACCTTGAAGTAGTGAAGGGAATCGTGAAAGTAAATGTGCAACATAAGAGGCAAAGAAACAGAAACTGGCATCTCTGTTTCATGATAAGATTCGGCTTTTGTTTGCTTTCACTGTTGCTACTATATAATTCATTGGTGATTGAGTCAGGTTTTAGGACAGTGTCTACTGAATGAGCAGCAAAGAATAATTTATAACTTCTGAGGCTGTCACAGCCTGGCCTCACTATACTTTAAGTTTGCTGGACTTGTGAGTAAGTGATGCTTGGGAATACATGGCAACTTCATGCACTTCATAGTTTTGTAGTACAAAAACACATACTCAGCCTGAATGTCAGCTCATTCAGGAGGAGGGCTGCATACATTAGTCCTATGTACTATGGCGTCCTATGGTGTGCTACCCGTGATATGATCTCACAGCAAGAGGACAAAAGGACCATTTATCACTCCTGATACTTATTTAAAAGGTTAAGCTGACTCCTACATATAATCGTATTCTCTATTAAACAGAAAACAAAGCCAGCTCTCCACACAGTGCCACCCACACAGCTCAGCTGTGTCCTGGAGCAATAGCTGGTAGGAGTGGAAGGCAATGCAACCCCTCCTCTGTAACATGAACTCAAACTGTCAAAGCACCAGCCCTGATGAGGTGCTTTGCTGCTGAAATTAGACTGAGAAACATCAAAAGTTTGATTCCGATCCCAGTAAGTCTCAGTTTGGCCAATGGTATAAACAGGGCAAGACTGAGGTTCAGTTTGTTTTATATACACTACCAAGCAGCTATCATCCATAGGAGGAGATGGCTCAAGGTAATAATCAACCACGGATGGGAGTCAAACTGCTAACATGGGATGCCCCAGTCGTTGTCATCTCTCAGACATGATCAGTCTGTTCAGGTGGGGTTATATTGCTGTACCTGAACACCCATGGATTTTTAATTAATGGACCCAAGCAAGCTTTCTTAGTAATAGATTACGGCTGGAAATCATATACAATGTAAAACCCAGTGTGAGATTAAATGGTCTTAATCCATTCAGTATGGTAGGTAAAGAAGGTGAAAAGTCATAGATGGCAATTTGAAATGTCACCATGTAGAAAAGAAACAGCAAATACCAAATCTTTGTGTGGGTTAAAATACTGATGTTAATGGGACACCCGTGGGACTTCTGGGGAGTTTGTTTTGGCAAGAACAGAACTACCAAATAGGCCAACGTTTTGACTTAAAACAGGTCCGTATGTCAAAGTCACAAAGCAAAGACAGGGATAAAACAAAAGCAGAAGAAAATGCCCCTTCTATTAATTTTTACGAACTGCATATTGGGCTTTTGAACTGTTCACCAGCCATCTACAAAAGAAGCTATGGGCTGACTACAACAACTAAACTTGAAAGCAGAAGACATTCCTTTGTAGTTCACATTTGCTGTCTTTGAAGTCACTGTGAATCTTACCAATGACTTCAATGGGACTAACTTTATATTAGCCATTGTTTTATCCCTACTCCTTTCAAAATTCCACACAATAACATTTCTTTTCCTTGTAATCCTGACAGAGCAATTAGGCTCCAGTCCACACCTGCACCCAACTTTTTTTCTTAAAACAGCATACTTTGAGCTCCCCTTCTCTGAACAGAATTATGAGATCTGAACTAATGGTGTCTCTCTGCTCTATCCAGTGCCTCTGTTTTTCATCATCTGCTGAAGAACATGAAATTTTTCAAGGCTTGTACAGCTGAGCTTTGGTTAAGACCAGCTGCAGGTTTCACCTATGGTTTTATGAGTGTGCTTAACAGAAAAAGAAAAGCTTATTTTTATCAGGGTAATCAAGCAATAACAGAATGGCAGAATGTGGATTAATGTGCAGTCATTTACAGATGCATTCATAGCGTGTTTCTAGTCACAAGTTCAGAGGCTGTATTGCATTCCCAGTGTAACATGGTGTGAAATACTGCACCATGATTTAAAAATTTGAAAGCCTTTTTGAAATAAAGCATTTTCATTCTATCTTTAATATGTAAACCAGATACACACGCACCACAAATACTTGCTGAGAAAACACGAGGTTCTCACTCCTCCAAGGCACCTCCAATCTCTTGTCTTTGGTGTTGAATGTGCAAGCCTCAGAGCTTAGTTTACACAAAGTCCACAACACCCACCAGTACTCCTGCCCCACACTGGGCTACAACTGGTCCATCCCCTGCTCCCTTGCTAGTGCCTTTTCAGCATGTGATTGAGACAAGAAATAAATTGAGAGAAGAAATAAATTTCCCAATGTTTGCTTGTAGAACTGCCCCCTCTCACTCGTTTGCAGGGAAGCTGAATGCCAAGAGACAGCCTTGAAGAGAAAAGCTTGGCTGCTTCCAAAACCTCCAGCTATACCACCACCCCTGGAAATCCAGGAATGGGAAGAATGAGGAGGGTCCAGGGCGGAGCCCACCTCGATTCTAGCCAGAATGAAATCTGGCTCTTTGAAGCACCTTTGGGCAGTGGGCTGATATAAACAACAGCACCAGACATTTACCATAAAGAACAGCGAGGAATTTTTATGAGACACTCATTTCACAAAGCTGCTTCACAGAGGAATTCTGCAACACGGAGCGGCTCGTTTGGGAAGGGTAACTAGTGGGATTAGTACCGTTTACTCCTAGTCTTCTTTATGCGATTTATATTTTGTTAAGCGCTTCCAAGCTGCAGCTCTCTCCCTGACTGCTGCATGGTTTTACTTCCCAACAGTGGCAGGGGAGCCCCAGAGAGGAATACACCCTGTGGAGCTAGACCTGATATGAAACCCAGACACAAATAACACTATGGTTTTCCTTCAGCAAAAAAACAATTCCCATGACAAGAAACAGCACCAGTGATTTCAAAAGATAAAGTTTTTTTTTCCTAGCTTTCTGTAGTATTTGTTACAGGACAAGACCACAGGATTTACTTATCTTTTTTTTTGCCACTGACTTTTCAAATGTCTGGTTAAATCAAAAAGAATGGCTGTTGTCCTTTGAAATATTTATGAATCAAAACTACTTTAGCACGGGGGGAACCCTGTGAACTGATGCAAGGGGTAATTTTGTCTAGTTATTTACTAAGGGCTTGATCTTGCCACAGAATCTGCTATATTTATCTAAATGCCTGTACTGAATGTCTCACTTTTTGAGTGAATCTTAACATGACCCATGTGCGCAGAACCATGGGCTAAAGTAGTAGACAAGATGGTGTAAATGTATGCTTATGCTTACAGTATTTTCCTGTTATGTTAAACAGAGAACACGACAAAGTTCCTATGCATAAGCTATAGACTTAAAGATATTTACTGAACGGTACACAAACAGAGACATATATACAGGAGGAGCTACTTGCCATCAACACAGGAAGGTCTGTTTCTTGTAGTCCCGGCCACTTTTCCAGGTAGACAGGAGCATTTTACTGTTTGTGATCTTTCCTCAATTCGATTCTTATTACAGCATCTGTGTGCTGCTATAACTTCACACGTTCCTCCTTCTGGCAAAAAAAAAAAAAGAAAGAAAGAAGAAAAGAAAAAAAAGAAGAAGAGAATATTGACACTCTGATTAGGAAGAGTAGCAGTGGCTAATCAAAGCACCCAGGCATGCTCCTGTCTTTGTCTGCATGGCTTCTATATAGGTGGGATTACAATGTTATTTTTCCCATTGTGCATGCTCCTGCACAAGCCAGGTGCAGTTTTAATAGGAAATGTAGATAAATGTCTCTCTACAGTAGCTGTAGCTTGCTTGTCTTATATTAGAATCTTCTCTGGCATCAGCAGAATTTTTGGCCTAAAAATGACTGTGTCAAGGTCTGGGCCTGAGGAAATGTAAGAAACATATTACAGAAAATACACAACAACTGTTGCCTGATTTTATGCTTGTAATAGTGGAGGCCTCTTCTCCCAGATATTCTATTGTACGAGGACAGGGGCTAAAGAATCCATGTAAAAGTGAGATTTTACTCCAAATGTTTGATTCCATGCTAGTACTCAGCCCTTACAGAATGACAGTCAGCCTCTCATTTACAGAATGGTCCAACAACATTTCCCTTTGCTACCCCACTCACTAAATTGGCAGTTTTAGGGCAGGAAACATTCCCTTTGTGTGTAAGATCACCAGGCTTAATTTGTCTGTATTTGTTCTTTATGAGCATTTGCCATAGTTTGATTAGGTGGAGAACACAAAGGACCGATAGACAGACAGACAGTGGCGCAGGGTTTATGAATACTTGATGTTTGTGGCATATGCTCCACACAGAAATGAAGCGTCAAGTGTATTATTTCCATTCACCTTAGCAGCGCAGGACAGGAGATGAGATGCCACAGTGGGCTAATGCACTGCCCAAGTAATTTCCCAGTTCCTCAGTTCAGATTGTATTTAGCTCATAATCACCAAGTATTTATAGTGCTAGTCTGTTCCCCACAGATATTTGGCTACTTTATGAAACTGCAGCATAAATTTGGCAGGATTTGTTTAAACTTAGTACAAAACGTCATGCACAGCCTACTGAAGAACACGATGTGTAAGAAGGTTTTCTTTATGCCACTATGAAATGTTAACTGTATGTTGCTTTTATTATAGCATTAGAAGCGTTATTCCTGTCTTTGGCTTTCACTCTTTTTGAAACAACCTGGAGACCTCTTGAACGCTACCATAACCCTGCAGCCAGGTTGGAGAATAAGCAGTGTGGAGATGTTGATAATCATATGGCTGTGAACAAGGGATGCTGGAAAAGATCTGGGAGTCCAGTGGCATCTCCCTGCTCAGAAGCAAGTCCTGTTAACTGGTGATTCTACGAATGTGACATTTCTTGGTGAAGCACTGGGGTAGATGGACTGGGAGAGTCTCCCTTGACTATATGTAGTTAAGGTCAAGTTGTACTCACAGTATTAAATGGTACAACTGCCAATAAACAGGAACTCCATAAAGTGTGGAAATGATTTAGAATATTAAACCTCCAAACCACTGATCTTCCAGGGTGAGTCAGTAGCTGAAAGCCTGTGAACTTCACTAGGGTAAACAAGCTTAGGTGGAATGGTCATGGGGTTAAGCACTGGTGAGTTTGCAAGCATGAGACAAGACCAACTCTGCAGTAAATATTTAACCCATCTGGAGAGAAATGCTGCTTCATGTATTAGTTATTAGGTGCATTCAGCCTGCTGACACAAGCTTTCTGAAAGCCAATGGGTGACACAGAAGAGAGACCCCAACAATTCAGAAAGCCATCATCTGACAAACGGTCTTCTAAGTGTCTCTTAGGAGTAAGAGGAATTGTGATTATCAACTCAGCCCCAAATGCTTTTATTTTTCTGTGAAGTAATTCCACAGATAAAATCCCTGTTCCCCCATCCAAATCATATTGAAAGCAAGGAAAATGTTCTCGCTGGTTTAATTCATCTTATGGTCATGCCCTAAGAGAAGAAAGATTCGTGATTTTATTGATTGTAACCTCAACCATAAAGATAATGTACACAGTAATAAGCATTTCTAATTTTAGACTACATAGACTGTGTGGTAAATATCTGTGAATAAGTTAAATGCTTCATTTTCTCTATTAATTTGCTGTATGAGTACTAATAACCACATCAGCTAGTCTTGCTTATTTGGTTAACTATGCAAAATAATGGGTTGTGGTGGATGAGCTTTATAACACTTTTAATTGTTACATGGAAGCTCAAGGTGCTGCAGCAATAAAGAATTTAACCCAAAGTGCGTAGCTGTTTATGAGTGGAAAACATTGAAACAATAAAAGCAATGAAAAAACGCTTCTTTTTCTGTTAGACAGTTAAATACATTAATTGTAACTTTTATCTGCATGAGCTATAACTATAATCCAAATAATAATAACAATAATAAAAAGACTCTTCCCAATGCTGACACAGAGGTAAAAAATCCATCTCACATGGAGAAAGTTCTGAAGGTTACACACTCAGTTTTCCTGGAAAATGTGATATGTATGGTCAGACTATTTCATTAGCCTATGAATGACTACTGGATAGCATTGCACGCAATGTGTTTTGCTGGTATCTATTGTACCAACCATGCATATACACATCAGACTTTTTAAAAGCCATATACAAAATGGGAATAGATAGAGGTATCCAGACAAATACAAATGGAAACAGTGAGAGTAGGAAAAAAATATCATTCAAAAATCATGCTCTTGATGATGCTATCCAGAGAAATATACACATATATAAGAAATATAGTGGGGGGTGAGGTTGTGTTTTCAACTTAAATTTCTATTTCAGCTCTACAAATGGAGAAACAAGTTAGAGCAGGGAGGGGAACGTGAATCAGTGTTCAGCATCCACTGAAAAAAGATTCAACACATTCGAATATATAACCTTTTTATCCTGTGGTTTTTAGTTATTTCCCATAATTTGGCAGGAGGGGAGGAGGGCACCAAGAAATGCTGCAATACCAGTATCTGAGGACTTCTGCTCCTGAGCTGGTGATTTTTTTCTCAGTGATTCTAGATTATGGGAAGAGCAGGTGAGGTATTACGGTGCTGGCAACCCTGAAAAAGTATGAATTATTGACCTGATAGGCTGTGAGTGCAGCAAAAGTTTGCATCATTGTCACCAAACCTAGAAATATCTTTTTTTTTGAAGTTTATGGTCTATTGAGCTAAGGTAGCTTCTGGCTTTGTTTCCACAATAACAGCCTCACCTAACTCGTTCAAGTCAATAAGGGATTTGTCATTAATCTTAAAAGGAGAAGAAAGGGCTCTAAAATCCTCCAAGCAAGTGTCTTCTGAATGTTTTGTGACAGTTACATTTCATGAAGTGGCTACTTTATCCACCTGGCAAGAAAAACAGCTTATGTTTTCTTAATTCCCTGCTGCCCCAAGAAAGTCCAAAAAGGATTAGAAATGGAATAGGAACTTGCATATCAGGAATAGCTCTGCTCTTTCTTCATGAAGCTTCAGAGATGAATGAAAATGCCCTAACACAATTTATATCCTCTTCACACCAAACATTACTAGGACCTGATAATAAGAACAGCTGATCATTTCTGAGCACTCAGTTCACGGGATGCCCTCAGCTTTGCCTGATGGAAATGTGATGCCTATCAAAGCAAGAGGGACAGAATTGGCTGCTGGGAAGGATGCTGGGCTGTTCAAGATGGCATCTGTGGCATTCCAACTTCCTTCATGTCTTCTGGCCTTCCAGAAGTCTTTGTTCTGCATAGTCTTACAATATGAAACTGCAGAAAAAATACATCATTCTCACTGTAAAATGGGGACAACTGTTTGTTACTCCTCCAAATGGTTTAATTCTAATTGAAGGAGACTAAACTCCCGAAATCATATTCATTTTTGTCTCTGTTATAAAGCCTCCTTGAGCTGAACACACTGCAGAGTGAGATATTTTATAAGTATGAGCCTACTGTGGGAGGCTGTGATTTAAAATATCTAATCACCTATAGGGTCTGAGTGTGTGCCAGACAGAAGCCAAAAAGCCATCTTCTAGTCATCTCCTTTTTTTTATATCTCTAGCTGAGAGGTAATAATAAAAGCATATTTTGCACTTCAAAATTATAACTCGCCTCTGTATTCTAGCCAAGCCTGAACTTATCAGTAAACAAACATAAAAAAGGCAAACAGCAGTACTGATTTGTGTTATACATTGTGGAAGTCATTAACTATGACTCAGGTAGCAAAACTTATACGCTCTCTCTTTGACAGTGATGACAATTTAATAGTATTTGACTCTGCTGAGTTACATGGAGCATCCTGCAGCAATGAGAGAGGCTGTTTATCAAAATGATAAACATGTTTTCATTTCCTCCTTGGCTGCATGTATGTGATCAGAAGTCTAAGGCCATCAAGAATTCACTTATTCTGGCCACCAGACAGACATTAAGCTATTCAGGACCATCTGTGCCTGAAATGAGTTCCACTTAATGGACCTTCCTAGGGCAGGTCAGTCATAATGAATGCATGTGTGCATGAATGCATGAGCAAAGCACCGCCTAGGTGAGACTTCTTGGGTTGTTTGGTGGAGGCACAGACGGCTGATAGATAAGATATGCCTTTCTTTTGGGGGTCATACGCTCAGTGATTTTAGAATTCAGATCCTCTACATTTGTTTCTATCTCATTGTCAATGCATCACGCAACCTCATCCAGTTGAAGGTTGTTGTAAGAACTTGTTTGTATTTCTTGCAAAAAAATAGTGATACCCAAACAACTTCATAAGATTTGCTGGTCAGATTCTGCCCTCTGTTACGCCATAAGCAATCCACCATGGGAACACAAGCAAAGGAAATCATATGGACCAATTTTATCACCATTTACAGGCAGTTCATTAGGACTTTTCCTAGTTTTGATAGCTCTGTTTATTTATACAGCTTTATACATTACTGGAGAGTCAATGTTCTAGTGTTGTTACCCTGCTTAGGGTCACATACATGTATGTTATTCTGATAAACGCTTAAGTATATGCAGATGTTGCTAGACCTAGGAGACCAGAGAAAACTTTAAACAGAATTG